CATTGATTTCTGCTCGTCGTTCCTTTTTCCTATGCATATACTTCTTTGATAGTTCGAATTTAAAGAGGCATAAGGCATGGGAAAATGGGGCGATGGAGTGTGGCATCGCCCTGGCAGGAGGCCGCCTTCAGCTGCATTCCCAAGTGAGATTGAAAACTTTTCAAGGAAGCAAGCCGTGAGATTGATCCCAGCTCTGCCGATCGGGTCTCCAGTTTTTGTTGGTGAGTTGATCCATGCTGAAATATTCTGCTTACAATGAGATTTTTGAAGCCTAGCTAAGGTTTGCTTTTAAACGGGGTAAGGAGTAGAATGCAGCAGCTACTCCCCGGAGGGCATATCCTCTCTCTTACAGCTGCTAGAAGCAAGAGGTGTTAGCAAGAACTTGTGGATACCAGGAAGTGTCATGTTACCATCCCAGTTTGCAAAACCCATTTTTTCCTGTTTTCATCCACAGGTTGTCATGGAATTTATAATGTGACCCTTATTATATTGTAACTGACTTTATTTTTATTTTTAGGCGACAGACTGCAGTTCTGGAGAAAAAAATCCTAGAAGATGGGTAAGAAACAAAAAGGAGTTTGCTAAAGTGCTAGTCACAAAATAAATTATAAGTGTCAAGGAATATGTTCCATTGAATGCAGTGTAATGTAACTTCTGAATAAGAATCTGTATTTGCCTTGTTAACTCAGCCTGCAAAATCCATTTCTCTTGTTTTCATCCACAGGTCCTCATGGAATATCTAATGTGACCCTTAATATATTGTAACTGACTTTATTTTTCTTTTTTAGGCGACAGACTGCAGTTCTGGAGAAAAGGAGCCTAAAACTAGAAGAAGATGGGTAAGAAACAAAGGAGTTTGCTAAAGTGCTAGTCACAAAAATAAATTCTATGGCTGCACTTCAGTAACTTCTGAATAAGAATCTGTACATTTGCAATCTTAAAATGGTTGCGTTCTGTTTTATGTTGTGTTGTGGTATTGCCTTCTGTTGTATGTTGTGTTTGTGTCTTAAAACCCCTCTAAGTAAGAGGTGTTAGTAAGAACTTTTAGATACCAGGAAATGTCATGTTAACTGCATTCCAGCCTGTAAAATCTGTTCTTGTTTTCATCCACAGCTTCTCATGGATCTGTACATTTGCATTTTTAAGATGGTTGCCTTCTATTACATACTTTGTGAATAAATCTCACTTCTGTTACATGTTATATTGTGAATAAAGTCATACCCATACTTTAAAATCCGTTTTCATCCACAGGTTCTCATGGATCTATATATTTGCATTGTTAAGATGGTTGCCTTCTGTTACATGTTGTTTTTGTGTAAATGTCAGGCCATAGTTAAACTAAAATCCCTCTTCTTTTTCACCCACAGGTTCTCATGGATCTATATATTTGCATTGTAAGATGGTTGCCTTCTGTTAAATGATGCTTTGTGAATAAATTTCAATCATACTTGACTTCCAATTAAATGTGCAGAGGATTTCTATGTAATAAAGTAGTAAAGTATGCATGTTTGTATCTGAACAAATGATATAATTATGCCTGTATGTCACTTTGTGAAAAATGATTCAGTTGGCTTGGAAAACTTCATTTGATTTGTACCTGTTGCTTTTGATTTAGTAATAAAATTATATATATATTTGATCTGAGTGTGCATCTTACTTAAAGTTGGCAAATTAAGGCAGAAACAATACAAAATGGTAATACTTTGTCAGTGGGTTTTGATAAGAAATAACTCTGGGGTGTTTCAATAATATGTACAGGTTTTCTTGGGCTTTAAAGTTGGCAAATTAAGGCAGAAACAATACAAAATGGTAATACTTTGTCAGTGGGTTTTGATAAATAACTCTGGGGTGTTTCAATAATATGTACAGGTTTTCTTAGCAATCAATACATACACAATCAATACATTTTGTGTGCTTGGGGGTTTTAAGAGTTGTTCTGTATCAATGCACAAAGGTTCTTGTGCCATGGCTAAATTTAAGCCAAAAAATCACCTGACATATTTATATGGCTGTGCACACATCCTGATGTTCCTAAAAGCTTCAACTGTTATAATTTAAAAGGGGAATTGCTGCTGAAAAACAGCATTTTTTATAACTTTCCAATTCATTTTGTCTTGTATGCCAAATGAGATGATTGCTTAGATACTCATAAAATGCCAAGAATGTTCAATGGAATTCACTTAAAATGCAATAACCACTTGAAACACTGCAATTTTATTATTCTTATTAATAAAACACAGGTAACAGTGTAATCCTATACATAAAGTTAAAGTTAAGCACAGGCTTAATAAGTGGGTTCATGAATCTTAAATGTTAAGGTATCTATAGGTCCCTTGACACAAAGAAATATGACTCATTTCCAAGAGTATCAAAATTTACAGCTGCAGGCTCACTGTTCCATCATGAATAATCTTAACATTAAAACTTTAAATTGTGGACTTTAGCAAAATATTTCTCTATATAAATTTCTCTCACATATTAGCTTTTATGGTTTATAAAGACTCAAACCTATGCATTTTACTTGGGACTTATTTAGTGGGATATACTGCTAATTAAATAGGCTTTCAGAGCTAAGAATGCATTGCTTAAAAATATTGTCATCTTTCAAATACAGATTCCCATACCTTGTACATTTTAGTAGCAAAAATGTTGTTCCTATTAATAGGCACAATGGCTTAGTCTATAGGTACCTAAATAGCTTAAAAGATTCATTTGCATTGTAACCCCTTCTCCTGTTCTGTTTCCATATAATAAGGAATCTCAAAAGCAAAAGAAAGTGAAGTAGACTCAGAATATCTGAACTGGTTGGGAATTATGGGAGTTGGGCTCCATCAGGTCAGGGAAGAAGCACAGCTTGGGTTTGTACCATACTTGGAGCTACAAACTCATCAATCACATTTTAGTCCGAATAAGTGTATTGTACAAATCAGAAATAGTTTAGAAGGAAGGCTTTTCTGTTATGGACATCCAGTAAAATTCTAGGAAGAGAAATCAATTTGGGAGTAGAATAAATTTTACATACACTCCTTTCCTCCCTTATTAAATATGTATATAGAGCAAAAGCATGATTCTAAAGTTCACTGACCAGATACAAAAGGAGAAATGGTAGAACTGCGATAGATAGATATATATTTTTTGCCCCAACTCAGGGCATGATGCATCTTATTTGATTATATCTCTACCTCCTATTTGATTATATCTCTGACTATCATCCTTTCCCTTTGGAACTGAGGGTGGCCTATGTTCTTTCTATATCTCTCCCCCTTCCCATTTTAACTTTCCCCAAAATTGAGAGCTTTATATCGCAGAGCAGTGACTGAATGTCTACAGAATCCTATACTTGTGTTAACTACAACAAATTTGTATTCGATTCCCTGAAATCTCTGTAATTGCCTGTCTCACTCTTGTACATTTCTTATCATTAAGTGCTTTCAGTGTTGAGATGAAACCTGCCTCCCTAGTATTTCTTTCCGTTGATACCAATTCTATACTGAGGAGAACAGAAATCAAATCAACTTCATCCTTTCTAAGACAGTACAGTATCAATAGCTGAAGACTATTATCATGCCTCTAATCTTCCTCTTTTCCAGTAAATTAGGCCCAGTTCCTTCACTTGAAGAAAGCTTTAATAAGACTTCCCCACATCCAGATGGCTTCCAGATGGCTACCATCATGCCCAGCTTCATACCATAGTGCAGGGTTCCTCAAACTTGGCCACTTTAAGACTTGTGGACTTCAACTCCCAGAATTCTCCAGCCAGCATGGCTGGCTGGGGAATTCCAGGAGTTGAAGTCTACAAGTCTTAACGTAGCCAAGCAAGTTTGAGGACGCCTGTCATAGTGGTTAGGGAATACAATGAGTTGTAGTCTGTCTCAAGTTGGAGAAGATTGCTATCACTGAATTGAAAAGGGCATTTCAGAACCTCATTACTGGTAGTCCTCGACTTACGACCACAATTGAGCCCAAATTTTCTGTTGCTAAGCAAGACATTTGTTAACTGAATTTTGCCCTATTTTACAACCTTCCTTGCCAAGTTTGTTAAGTGAATCACTGAAGTTGTTACTAAGACAACTGTTAAGTGACTCTGGCTTCCCCCTTGACACTTTGCTTGTCAGAAGGTCTCAAAAGGGATCACATGACCCTGGGCCACTGCAACCGTCATAAATATGAGTCAGTTGCCAAACGTCCGAATTTTGGTCATGTGACCATGGGGATGCTGCAATGGTCATAAGTGTGAAAAATGATCAGAAGGCACTTTTTTCAGTGCCGTTGTTATTTCAAACAATCACTAAGTGAACTGTTGTAAGTTGGGGACTACTCGTACTTCCGCAGCCCATAATAGAGGGTTTGTGTCCTGCTACTGAATTCATGCAAGCCTCTTGTGGTATAACTATCAAAATACTATATTTTTCTCTCTTGTTGCACCTGCTTGCTCTATTAATAGAACCTCTGGGCATATGCAAAGAGCCTTGATCTTCTTAGACAGCTTTGAAATTCAAAGACACCAAGGCCTTCAAGTAGACATTAGCTGTTGCTTCTCCTGCTTCCATTGTTATTCAATGCATTGTTTCTAAATGGTTCTAATTCAAAAGTAGTATTACTCAGCCATAAAAAAGAAATACACTTTCCCTCATCAGTGTCTGCCTCAATCTAGTTTATTTTAAGAGAAAAGGAATTGCAGGGTATTTTTTTCCCATTGCATCTACAAAAATTCCCACTGTTGGATAATTAAAAACAAAAGAATCCATGTTCTTCTTTCATCTAATTACCATAATCCAGTACACAACACTGAGAAAACCCAAATGGTAGTGAGAGAGCCAAGGAATTGCAGTGCTGTCTAACATACTGTAAGTAATGTATCCATTATTTCTAAATAGCATTATTGAGAGGCTGACCTCTTTGGCTAGAAATCAGTCCCATAAGAAATTAACAGGACAGCCAGTTCTAAATCTTTAAAAAAATAGTATGATGTAGGTAAGGGATGTCCAAACTTAGCAACTTTTAAGACCTGTGGACTTCAACTCGCAGAATTTCCCAGCCACGGGGAATTCTGGGAGTTGAAATCCACAGGTCTTAAAGGTGTCAAAGTTGGACACTCCTGATGTAGGCAGTACCAAGAACAAACATTGCTTTTTTTCCTCTTTAAAAGCGACTTACACCTTCAAACACAAGTTAATCTGCATTTCTCAAATCAAGCACAATCATTTAGCCATTTTTCTGAGCGTGGAGTACAGAGATTAAGACAGGAAGATCTCTGTTTATGCTAGGGAAGTGAAGGGCTGTGTGGAGATGCAAAGGCACAAAATATTCACTGTGATTATAGCGACATGTCACACCAAACGATAAATTAGCCAGCCCTAGTTTGGTGCAGCGGTTAAAGCACTGGACTAGAAACTGGGAAAATGTGAGTTTTAGACTAGCATTGGGCGTGAGGCCAGCTGGGTGATTTGGGCCAGTCACTCTGTCTCAGCCTCAGGAAGGAGGCAAGGGCAAGCCACTTCTGAAAATCTTGCCAGGGGAAAAAAAAGCTGCAGGGATTAATTCAGGAAGTTACCAAGAATCAGTAATTTTATTTATATTTGTATTTATGTAACAAGTAGTCCTTGAGTTACAACAGTTCATTTAGTGACCGTTTGAAGCTACAACAGCACTGGAAAAAGTGACTTATGACCATTTTTCACACATACGACCATTGCCGCATCCCCATGGTCACATGATCAAAATTCTGATGCTTGGCAGCTGACTCATATTTATGACGGTTGCAGTGTCCCGGGGTCATTTGATCACCTTTTGCGACCTTCTGACCAGTAAAGTCAATGGGGAAGCCAGGTTCACTTAACAACCATGTTACTAAGTTAACATTTGCAGTGATTCACTTAACAACTCTGGCAAGCAAAGTTATAAAATGCGGCAAAATTCACTTAACAAATGTCTTGCTTAGCAATAGAAATTTTGAGCTCAATTGTGGTCGTAAGTCGAGGACTACCTGTATTCATGTGATGGTACAGAAGAAAGTGGCTAGTTTATGGTTCCATGTGTGGAGACCAATCAATTGTATTACTTAAGGAAAACCAGGATTACACTAACTGAAAGTGATTTTTTTTTCTTTGAAGTCAATCAGCAAGCTCCTTATAATCAAATAACACCTTTTTTTGAGTTTTATAAGGAGCAGCTCATTTTGCAAAATGTTCCTCTTAAAAATGCCCCTCTTGACCCCCTCATAACAAGAGACTTCTTTTGTTAAGCACTCCAAACTGGAAACACTGCCTTTAATACAGGAATGTAAAAAAGGTGTTA